CTGTTCTTAACCAATATGCCATATTGTGAGGCATTAATTGGTAATATTGTTTTCTAAGTAAGCAAGTGAAATTTATCTATTATTCCTACTCCTATTTCATGAACTAAATTCTCATGTAGAAATGTGACTTTTAATCTATAGTTTGTATTTGTTTCTACATCAATGGCCATACTACGCTAGACCGGGAAACCGAGAATTCTTACAGAAACACTGACCTAAGTAAGCTGGCTCAGATACCACAAATGACCTTGATGATGAGTGTATCAGTCTCTTTATATTCCTGTACCTTCTCAATATGTCACATTCATTATTGCAGAAATGAGTTTGAATAGGGAGTAGAGTTATCCTATGGTTTTCTTTCTCAAATTTTTTATGCTCTTTTTTCAGTCTTTTTCTGATATACACACACAGAGAGATATATTTATATATATATATATATAAAACATGTGTTTTCTTCAGGAAGTTGAAACTTGCTTTATTACATACATTTTCATAAGTCCCTTATTGAAATTAAATACACTGTATTCATTTTAGCCTACCATTTATTTGAAAGCAGTTGGTATTCTAGTATTAATTCTCAATGAAATAACTGATTTCAGAAAAATAAAGGTGGCAATGTTGTGGAGGAATTTTTATCACTTAATAACTTAGAGATTCTGGAAATTTAGTAGGAAAAAACGTAATGGGCTTCAGTTATTTTCTGTTAAAATTACCCATGTGTCATTGGCAACTCTTCTTAAAATTATGCTGAAAGCCAGGTGCAGTGGCTCACACCTGTAATCCTAGCACTTTGGGAAGCCAAGGTGGGGGGATTGCTTGAGGGCAGGCATTCAAGACCAGTCTGAACAACATAACAAGGCCCTCATCTCTACAAAAAAATAGCTGGGAATGATGGTGTGAGCATGTGGTCCCAGCTACTCGAGCGAGCGGCTGAGGCAGGAGGATTGCTTAAGCCCAGGAGTTTGAGATTGCAGTGAGCTGTGATGATGCCACTGCACTCTAGTGCAGGTTACAGAGTGAGACCCCGTCTCCTCCCCCAAAAAAATGCTGAAAAAAAGTGTGTACTTTATTGACTTAAATGACTTTATTCTGAAAGAATGACTCACCATAACTGAATCAGGCATTCTTCAGCATTTACTATGATGATACTCTTCTTGTAGAAATAATAAATTTTCTTACTCAACTGCTGGGTGCATGAGGAATCCATATGTGTGCTATGTATTAATTTCTTTGGCTGCTGTACAAAATTACCACAGACTTTATTGCTTAAAACAATAAAATGTATTATCTTTACAGTTCTGTAGATCAGAGGTCCAATATGGGTTTTATTGAGCTAAAATCAAAGTATCAGCAGGAATGCATTCTGTTCTTGTGGTGCTAGAGGAAAGTCCATTTCTTTGTCTTTGCCAGGTTCTAGACACTGCCCACATTAAGTGAATCATGGCCCTCTTTGTCCATCTTCAAATCTGGCAACAATGCATCTCTGACCATTCTTCAGTAGTCACAGCTCACTCTGACCATAGCCAGGAAAGGTTCTGTCCCATCCAGATAATACAGGATAATCTCCCCTTCACAAGTACCCTAGTTTAATCCCATCTGCAAAGTATCTTTTGCCATGTCAGGTAACATATTTGCAGATATTGGGAATTAGGGAATAGGCATCTTTAATTGGCCATTATTCTCTCTACTACACAGGTTGGCTGCTTGGAGAAAATTATGTAGTCTAGCAGTATCACTTGTGGCCAAAAAGGGCACATAAAGGGTTTTATACCAAGAGTTTAGCCTTCATTGATAAGATGATTTAATCCAAGACAAGATGATTCACAAACTTCTAAAAATCACTAACAAAAACACTGAATTCATAATTATATCCTTACTTTTTACCATAATTTAAATTATGAAAATAGAAAATGCAAACAAAAGAATTCAAATATGATAAGGGACTTGTACCTAGAATATAAAAAGAACCCTAACAACTCAGTTATAAAATGACAAATAACACAATTAAAAATAGGCAAAAATCTAAATAGAGATTTCTTCAAGGAAGGTATACAAATGGCCAATAAACACATGAAAAGATTTTCAACATCATTACTTACTTACTTACTTGAACTGCAAATCAAAATCACAAGATATCACAAGGATGGCTATAATCAAAAAGTAAGATAACAAAAACTGTTGGGAGGATGTGGAGAAATTTGAACCCTGATACACTGCTGGTGGGAACATAAAATGGTGCAGTCACTTTGTAAAACAGTCTGGCAGTTCCTCAAACAAGTAAACATAGAAACACATCTGATCTGGAGATTCCTCTTAGAGAAATGAAAACACATGTCCATATCAATATTTGTACATGAATGTTCACAGTAGCATTATTCATAATAGCCCAAAGGTGTAAACTACCCCAATGTCCATCAAAGGATGAATGAATAATCAAAATGTGATATATCTATACAATGGAATATTATTTGGCCATAAATAGAAATGAAGTATTGATACATGCTATGACTTGAATGAACCTTGAAAGCATTATGCTAAGTGAAAGAAGTCAGTCACAAAAGTCCACATATTATATTATTCTGTTCATATGAAAGTCCAGAATAGAACACTCTATAGAAAGTAGGTTAGTGGTTGCTTAGGACTGAGTGCAAGAGGGATGGGAAAATTGGGGTGGGGGAGGAAGAATGATAGTTAAAGTATACAGAATTTCTTTTGAAGTGATGAAAATGTTCTAAAATCAGGATGATGGATGCACAACTCTGTGAATATATGAAAAGTCATTGAATTGTATATGTTAAATGGGTGAATTATATGGTTTGTGAATTATATCCCATTAAAGCTATTTTTTAAAAAGGATAAAACAAAAATTATCCTGTCATGATAAAAAAAACAAGGAATTCCAAAGTGTGGCAGGCCCAACTTTGAGATCTGCCTATTTAGGAAATAATTTTCCAATAATTGAAAGTCGTGAAAACTCTTTCTGTGAAACAGTTCTCAGGCTAGGTGTTGGAAAGAAGAGGAAGTAATCTATTCTTTAATAAAGCGTTGGTTAAATACCCTTTTTAGAACTATTACTGATTGCAATTTTGCAGTGTCTACTCATAGTGTCTATAAATATGTACCATAGAAAAGATGTACTTGTGAAACTGTCCCCATGTTACTTCAGAAACATTTTGCTCCTGAATGTATATTCCTCTCAGTTTAAATGTTAAATTATTTTATGTAATCAATACCACCTCAACAGCATTAGATAGTAGCATCAGTGAAAGTTTGCTCTTTGTAATCCTCCCTGTTCAACACCACAGAGCTCTGTCTATACACACAAAAGCCATATGAAAATAGAGCCCAGTGTTTCATATTACATAGCCTATATTCAGTACATCCAGAATTTTGCCTCCAGTATTAAACCAGAAAATAGTGAAACGCGTGGTGGCGCTGCAGGCTAAGATAATGGAAAACAGAATTGCCTACGCAGCTCCAGTATCCAGCCAAACCGTTTCGCACCGCCTGGAAGCAAAAGAAGAGCTTTCTCAGCCAGAGCAAAATCGAGAGTGAAGCTTCTTTAAAACACTATTCAACGGCTTAGTTCTGACGTTCTGGACTGCAGGATCGCGCTACCAGGATCGTGGACATACACAAAGCTCCTGTGAACCAAATTTTCAGGAAAGAGCAATGGAGATCGGATGGATGCGCAATCAGAAACAAAGGCAAGTCCTAGTTTTCTTTGTTTTGCTGAGCATGCCTGGGGTGGGCGCCGAGTTGGGGCCCTATTCCGTAGAGGAAGAAACGGAGAGAGGCTCTTTTGTGGCAAATCTAGGAAAAGACCTCGGGTTGGGGTTGACAGAGATGTCCACCCGGGGGGTCCGGATCATTTCCCAGGGGAACAAGGAGCATTTGCAGCTCGCGGTTCAAACTGGGGATTTGCTCATAAATGAGAAACTAGATCGAGAGGAATTATGTGGTCCCACTGAGCCATGTGTACTACATTTCCAAGTGTTAATGGAAAAACCCTTAGAAATATTTCAGGCTGAACTGAGGGTGAGAGATATAAATGACCATTCTCCTGTGTTTACTGAAAAAGAAATGCTTCTTAAAATTCCGGAAAACAGTCCTCTAGGAAATGCATTTCCTCTGAGTAATGCTGTGGACCTGGATGTAGGAAGCAATAATGTTCAAAACTACAAAATCAGCCCCAATTCTCATTTCCGAGTTCTAACCCAAGAGCGCAGAGATGGCAGGAAATACCCAGAGCTGGTGTTGGATAAGGAGCTGGATCGGGAAGAGAAGCCTGAACTGAGATTAATCCTGACTGCGCTGGATGGCGGCTCACCACCCCGGTCGGGGACAGCCAAGGTTCGCATTGAAATAGTGGACACCAATGATAACGCCCCTGAGTTTGAGCAGCCGATCTACAAGGTGCAGATTCCGGAGGACAGACCTGTTGGCTCCCTGGTTGTCACGGTCGTCGCCAGGGATTTAGACAGTGGAGTCAATGGAAAAATATCCTACACACTCTTTCAGCCTTCAGATGATATGAGCAAAACTTTGGAGGTAAATCCTAGGACAGGAGAAATTCGACTGAAAAAACAAGTAGATTACGAAACAGTACTGTCTTATGAAGTGGACATCAAGGCCACCGATGGGGGAGGTCTTTCAGGAAAATGCACTCTTCTCCTGCAGGTCGTGGATGTGAATGATAATCCCCCAGAAGTGACCATGTCTGCACTCACAAGCCCCATCCCAGAGAACTCACCTGAGACTGTAGTTGCTGTTTTCAGTGTTTCAGATCCTGACTCTGGGAACAATGGGAAGACAATTTCCTCCATCCAGGAAGACCTTCCCTTTCTTCTAAAACCTTCAGTCAAGAACTTTTACACTTTGGTAACGGAGAGAGCACTCGACAGAGAAGCAAGAGCCGAGTACAACATCACCATCACAGTCACTGACTTAGGGACACCCAGGCTGCAAACACAGCTCAACATAACCGTGCTGGTCTCCGACGTCAATGACAACGCCCCCGCCTTCACCCAAACCTCTTACACCCTGTTCGTCCCAGAGAACAACAGCCCCGCCCTGCACATCGGCAGCGTCAGCGCCACAGACAGGGACTCAGGCACCAACGCCCAGGTCACCTACTCGCTGCTGCCGCCCCAGGACCCGCACCTGCCCCTCGCCTCCCTGGTCTCCATCAACGTGGACAACGGGCACCTGTTCGCCCTGAGGTCGCTGGACTACGAGGCCCTGCGGGCGTTCGAGTTCCGCGTGGGCGCCACAGACCGAGGCGCCCCTGCGCTGAGCAGCGAGGCGCTGGTGCGCGTGGTGGTGGTGGACGACAACGACAACTCGCCCTTCGTGCTGTACCCGCTGCAGAACGGCTCCGCGCCCTGCACCGAGCTGGTGCCCAGGGCGGCCGAGGCCGGCTACCTGGTGACCAAGGTGGTGGCGGTGGACGGCGACTCGGGCCAGAACGCCTGGCTGTCGTTCCAGCTGCTCAAGGCCACGGAGCCCGGGCTGTTCGCCGTGTGGGCGCACAACGGCGAGGTGCGCACCGCCAGGCCGCTGAGCGAGCGCGACGCGGCCAAGCACAGGCTCGTGGTGCTGGTGAAGGACAATGGCGAGCGTCCGCTGTCTGCCAGCGTCACGCTGCACGTGCTCCTGGTGGATGGCTTCTCCCAGCCCTACCTGCCGCTCCCGGAAGCGGCCCCGGACCAGGCCCAGGCCGACTCGCTCACCGTCTACTTGGTCGTCGCCTTGGCCTCGGTGTCCTCGCTCTTCCTCTTCTCGGTGCTGCTGTTCGTGGCGGTGCGGCTGTGCAGGAGGGACAGGGCGACCTCGGGGGGTCGCTGCTCGGTGCCTGAGGGCCTGGTGGATGTCAGCGGCACCGGGACCCTGTCCCAGAGCTACCAGTATGAGGTGTGTCTGATGGATGGCTCCGGAACAAGTGAGTTCAAGTTCCTGAAACCAGTTATCCCCAACCTCCCGCCCCAATGCCCTGGGAAAGAAATAGGGGAAAATTCTAACTTCCACAATAGTTTTGGATTTAACTATTGATAAAAACCCATTTAATAAAGACATTAACTTCTTAATATTATCTCCTTTGTTAAACTAAATTGTTGATGCTCACTACCACCAGTAAGGTTCTATTTCATTTTCTCTGTTTGATTGGTCATTAATTTCCAATTTTATGCTTAATTTCACCATTTTCCTTTCCCACATATTTATGCCAATGAGGTGTTTCTCATTAAATCCCCATTAATGAAGTAGGCTTTAGCTTCAAAGTTAATATCATCTTTTAAAAATTCTTCTACTGTATAATTGTCTTTATTTACTTTATATTAATTATTGCTCTATTATTTATGTTAGTTCTCACTTTTCTAGAACTTCAAGTATTAAAATAATGTGCTGCATATAATATGTGTATTTTCTATGTCATATTTCTTTTGTTTATTTTCCTTTCAAAATTGGTGTTCTTGTGGGTTTGTCATAATCAATTTTCATCATAACACTTTTTGTAAACTATGTTACTTTTTTCAAAAGGTCTACCTGCCCTGATGAGAGAAATAAATCTCCAATTAGCCTTATCTAAAGATAAGGAAAGCCATTGTAGGATATTGAGTGCATGTAAATGTGTTTAAGTTTGAAGGTAAAAAGGCAAAGATTAGGCCTTCTGTAGGATTATGTAGAAATATTTCAAAATTTGTTGCTTTTAATTCTGAAGGAACAAATCAGAGGTCCCTGTTAAGTTTTTAATTACTAACAATTAGTCCCATGAAGTTCAAAAAAAATGTAAGTCATCAGGTAGAAGTTTATCTGGTGTGGTTTTTATATTCAACAAAGTTTTTTTTGCTGTTGTTGTATCTAGCCCTTTCTCTGTACAATATCCCTAGATTTAATCTGTATCTTTTGCTTATTATGAAAAAATAGAGCTTCTTTCTAGATATTAGGCCTTTGAATAAAATTCCATGTGAGTCACATGTTATAATGTAGTTCTTACCTTCAATAGTGTTAGGAGAGATGCTAGTTTGATCTATTCTTTACCTCCTTTTATTTGGTGCAGAGAAATTGGATCCTACTAGATTTCAATTAAGAAGGACCTTAAAATAAAGTTCAGTCCCTTCTTTAATTCTGTGAGTTATTTCAAATCTAATATAGAAAAAAGAGAGAAATAAAACAGAAATTGCAAAGTATGAGTAAATGAAAGAACTCAATTTTCTAATGGTAGGGATTGAAACCCGTTAAATATTGTTTCATGTCCTACATGTCCTACTCATTAGAGTTTATCTATGCATGCCTTAATGCAGCAAGAATTTAGTGAGTCACTAATTTGCCTATCAAAGATGACTGATACATAGTTGTCCTCAAGTGGCTCACATATTGACCAAGGGACAGAATGGCATGAAACAGGAAGCAATAATACATACAGGGTAATCATAGTTGTATGCGTAAGTTTTCAGAGAAGCACAGAGGAGTGACAACCTGAATGCTTTGTTCTGGATCACAGAGTGATTATTCTGTTCAGGCAATATAAAGAAGTTTGTTGAAGAAGGTCGAAAATGAGGTTTTTTTTGTTTTTGTTTTTTGTTTTTTTGGGTCAGTTTTTGGTGTTCCTATGCCCAATGTTTCTGGAAAAGTAAAATATATTGTTTTGGTGGTCCCGGAAGGTACCCACAGTTTTTCCTTTGGTTGCATAAGAGTTGTGTCAGAGATGAAAGGCCTAGTACAGAGCTAAATCTGGCACAGTGAAGTGAACAGACTTACTGTTAGAAACATTTTTCATTGTTGAATTTTTAACTTTTCCCATGAAGCCATGAAGAATCCCAAGAACATGAACGGTTCTCTATCTTAACATTATCTTTTACAAAACAAACAAAAGAAAATAAAAGTAAAAAATTTAAATAAGCCACTAAAGGAAAATTTTTGTAAGTGTATAAAACACACAAAAATTGGGTAAAGCCATTTCAGTGTGTCAGAAGCCACACGGTGGCGCTGCAGGCTAAAAAGACGAGGGGTGGGGACTTGAACTGAGAACGCCATGCAAATCATTAACAAAAAAAGGAAGATCCAGCAGACGAGCTGGGGAAAAAAACTGTAGCAGCCCAAGATTGGAAAACGAAAAGGAAAAAACCCTAGGTCCCTGCTACTATTAATACATAACATAATTCTGGGGTTTGGAACTGCTGTTTACGTTTGGCGCTGAGATTGTGACTCATAAATGAGGAAACAGCAAGCTATGGAGGCTAGAGGGTTCTGCTTCCCAAGACAAAGGCAAGTTCTATTTCTCTTTCTATTTTGGGGAGTGTCCTTTGCAGGTTCTGGGTTTAGACGTTATTGGGTAACAGAGGAAACAGAAAGAGGATCATTTGTGGTCAATCTGGCAAAGGATCTGGGACTAGCTGAGGGAGAGCTGGCTGCAAGGGGAACCAGGGTGGTTTCTGATGATAGCAAACAACACTTGCTCCTGGATTCTCATACTGGGGATTTGCTCACAAATGAGAAACTGGACAGAGAGAAGCTATGCGGCCCCACAGAGCCCTGTCTGCTGTATTTCCAAATTTTAATGGATAAACCCTTTCAGATTTACCCGGCTGAGCTGAGAGTCAGGGATATAAATGATCACTCACCAGTGTTTCGGAACAAAGAGATGGTATTAAAAATACTGGAAAATACAGCAGAAGGGACAGCATTTCGACTAGAAAGAGGACAGGATTCAGATGGAGGACTTAATGGAATCCAAAACTACACCATCAACCCCAACTCTTTTTTCCATATTAAAATTAGTGACAGTGATGAAGGTATGATATATCCTGAGCTAGTGCTGGACAAAGCGCTGGATCGGGAGGAACAGCGGGAGCTCAGTTTAACCCTCACGGCTCTGGATGGCGGGTCTCCACCAAGATCTGGGACTTCTGCTATACGCATAGTGGTCATGGACATCAATGACAATGCCCCACAGTTTGCTCAGGCACTCTATGAGGTCCAGGCTCCAGAAAACAGCCCAGTAGGGTCCCTTATTGTTAAAGTCTCCGCAGGAGATGTAGACGCAGGAGTCAATGCTGAAGTATCCTATTCATTTTTCGATGCTTCTGAAGATATTCCAACAACTTTTCAAATTAATCCTTTTTCTGGGGAAATCATTCTCAGAGAGATGCTTGATTATGAATTAGTACAATCTTACAAAATAAATATACAGGCAATCGATGGTGGGGGTCTTTCTGCAAGATGTATGGTTTTGGTCCAGGTATTAGACACCAATGACAATCCTCCTGAACTGATCATATCATCACTTTCCAATCACATTGCTGAAAACTCTCCTGATGCGGTACTGGCCCTATTTAGGATTAAAGACAGAGATTCTGGAGAAAATGCAAAGACAGTTTGCTCCATTCAAGATTACCTGCCTTTCCTTCTGAAACCCTCTGTGGACAATTTTTACATCCTAATGACAGAAGGAGCGCTGGACAGAGAGAGTCAAGCTGAGTACAATATCATCATCACCGTCACTGACTTGGGGACACCCAGGCTGCAAACCCAGCAAAACATAACAGTACTGGTCTCCGACGTCAATGACAACGCCCCCGCCTTCACCCAAACCTCCTACACCCTGTTCGTCCCAGAGAACAACAGCCCCGCCCTGCACATCGGCAGCGTCAGCGCCACAGACAGGGACTCAGGCACCAACGCCCAGGTCACCTACTCGCTGCTGCCGCCCCAGGACCCGCACCTGCCCCTCGCCTCCCTGGTCTCCATCAACGCCGACAACGGGCACCTGTTCGCCCTGAGGTCGCTGGACTACGAGGCCCTGCGGGCGTTCGAGTTCCGCGTGGGCGCCACAGACCGAGGCGCCCCCGCGCTGAGCAGCGAGGCGCTGGTGCGCGTGGTGGTGGTGGACGACAACGACAACTCGCCCTTCGTGCTGTACCCGCTGCAGAACGGCTCTGCGCCCTGCACCGAGCTGGTGCCCAGGGCGGCCGAGGCCGGCTACCTGGTGACCAAGGTGGTGGCGGTGGACGGCGACTCGGGCCAGAACGCCTGGCTGTCGTTCCAGCTGCTCAAGGCCACGGAGCCCGGGCTGTTCGCCGTGTGGGCGCACAACGGCGAGGTGCGCACCGCCAGGCCGCTGAGCGAGCGCGACGCGGCCAAGCACAGGCTGCTGGTGCTGGTGAAGGACAATGGCGAGCGTCCGCTGTCTGCCAGCGTCACGCTGCACGTGCTCCTGGTGGATGGCTTCTCCCAGCCCTACCTGCCGCTCCCGGAAGCGGCCCCGGACCAGGCCCAGGCCGACTCGCTCACCGTCTACTTGGTCGTCGCCTTGGCGTCGGTGTCCTCGCTCTTCCTCTTCTCGGTGCTGCTGTTCGTGGCGGTGCGGCTGTGCAGGAGGGACAGGGCGGCTTTAGGGGGTCGTTGCTCCGTGCCTGAGAGCCACTTTCCTGGCCATCTCGTGGATGTCAGCGGTACTGGGACCCTGTCCCAGAGCTACCAGTATGAGGTGTGTCTGATGGGTGGCTCCGAGACAAATGAGTTTAAATTCTTAAAGCCGGTTATCCCTAATATCCAGGCCCAGGGCCCTGGGAGGAATAGTGAAGAAAATCCCATGTTTTGAAATACTTTTGCTTTTAATTTTCAGTAATAATTGTTTATATTTTAATGTACTTTTGTAATGTTATACAACGATATCAATATTAATATTAAACTAGTTATGCAATTCAAGTAATTTTCAATTTTCGGTTACTAGATATCTACATTTTTTGATGTTATTTTATCCCTTTTTGTATTAATTAACAACTAGTTTTAATTGACTTAGTACCCATTTCTAAAGAATAATTTCAAGGTTTTAATCCTTTTTAAGTGTACAAGGATTTATTTAATATCATTTCTCATTCTGGAAAATTGAAATTTTGATTTTTCTCCTCGTATTTTTCAGAGACTCAATCTCATGGTCCCAACCACCTATCTATTGTACTTCCTTCTTGGAAGAAGTCATATCTGTCCTTGGAAGCTATTCTAACATTCTATTTATTCATTTAAAAAGCAGTGCCATCTAATTTTAAATCACAGCATTAAAAAGAAATATTTCTTTATTAATATGTTCATGGTAGATGAAATGTTATTTTATGATCAATATTAGACTCCAATAATATCTTTGTGTTTGTATTATTTTCTTTTCCTTAAATACACTGCTCTTACTTGACTAATATTTTTTACGTTCTCTTTTGTTAATTATATATATACATATACATATATATAAAACAGATTGTGTCTCATAATCCAAACAGAATATAATATACCGCATGAATATGAATGCAAATTTTGAAACATTTTGAATATTCGTGTGTGAAAATATTGGTGGACTGTTGGAAAGATATTCACTTTTCATTTTATTTTATAAATATATTCATTTATTGTCAAATTTAAAATTAAAATGAACTAAATGTTACAAAGAAAAACAATAGTTTCTTCAATCTCTAGTTTATTTCATTGGAGTGACTTCTAGAATTATCTCAGTATTTCCAAATATGTTTCTACTATTATATCTTGACATTCAGTTTTATACTTTAATCACTTCTTGCTGTGAGAAAAAAAAATTTAACTTTCTCTGTAACTAACAACATATGTGCGAACACTGCATATTCTCTTTCTCCTATTCGCCCAATATAATTACTAGTTTTTTAAAAGTTAAACTACTTCTGTTAGTATCCATAATAGTAAGATTTCTCCAATTATGCATTAATATAGAATGATTACATTTCTTTTCTTGAAAACAGTTTTCCTAGAACTGAAAATTATTTTGTACTTGCGTAATTTTCTATGTACAGCTATTGATGTTTTACATTATCTCTCATTTAAATTTCAATCTTTCTCCTTAAAATATTCAAATATATCATATAAATATCAATTATGTTTATTTCTTAGAGATCTTTCACCTAGAGCTCTGCTTCATTTACACCGGTTGTTCTAAAGGCTGTCACCGTATGATTTTTTTTCTTTTAATATATTTCTGTGTTGATCCCCTTTTACAAGGTCTAATATGTTCTTCTCAGTTTACTCCCTTACTTAGCTGATACACATCTCTCAATACGTTCATAAAAATGGATGCAGAGGAAGTAAAACTTTTTGAAAGCTTACATTAGGAAATTATCTTTTCATTTCACTTGACTGATAGTTTGACTGGGTATAAAATTATAGGTTGAAAATGATTTTCCCTCACATTTCAAAAGCACTGTTGCTTTTATGGACTGCATGTAGAGTTGTTCAGAGGCTGATTCATATGTCTTTTTTGTGTGATCCCTTTTTTTTCTTTCTTTCTTTCTGGAAGCATTGATAAACTTTCCCTGATATTCTGAAAATATGTTAGTACTAGCTATTTATTTATTTATTAAATGAATGTGGTCACAAGAGTGTGCCCTATTAATGTTTATCATTTTTTTTTTTTTGAGAAGAGGTCTCACTCTGATTGCCCAGTCTGGAGTGCCATGGGTATTCACAGGTGCAATCATAGTGCACCACAGCCCCTAACTCCTGGCCTCAAGAAGGGCTCCTGCCTCAACCTTCTGAGTAGCTGAGACTACAGGCATGTGCCACCACACCTGACTGTTTAGACTATCATTTTCAGTTCTGAGAAATTTTCTTTGTATGTTTTACTCATAATTTCTCCCTTGAGTTTTCTACATTCTCACTTTAACCAAAATCTTAGTGAACTATTAGATTTCCTAGACTGCTTCTATAAGACTCTAAGCTTTTTTTCCTTTCTTATTTTCTATCTTTTTACCACTTTTTCCATTTTTTTGGACAATTTATGTAATCATTCAATGTTTTATATTTAAGTTTTTCTTTAAGGCTCACAAATATTTATTTTTAAGAGTTTTTTGATTCTCTGAGTGTTTTTCATGGTGTCCTGTTATAGACTTATAAATATAATATCTTCTGTCATCCATAATTTATTTATTCTTTAAAATGTATTATGTAAAAATGCATTATGTAGTATTACTAGTATATATTCATTTTTAAAATAAAAGTGAGTCAAAGGGAAGTTAAGAACTTGTGCAAGGTTATATAGCTAGTAAAGGGCACTTAAGGCCTAGTCTACTGTTTATCTTATAATAAGAATATATATTTCATACAGTTACTATTAGGATTAAATTGGTAAATACATATGAAGCACTTAGAAAAATGGGTGGCATGGAATAAGTACTAAGTAAATATTAGCTCTTACTAGATTTTATTTCTCTGGGGATATTAATCAGATATTGTCAAAGGCTTTCTTCTGTTTTCTATATTTGTATATTATTGTTCCTTTTTTTGGTAGTGGTGGTAGAGGTAGTTTTGGCCTTTCTATTTTATGTTAGACGTATTTCTTTAAATGTCTTGTGGCCCTTCGCTATCTTCTCATATTTTAGAAGGATGACATATCAAAATGCTGACAATTGACTTTTTGTGAATGAACAGGACCTGCTGATGGCAGGGCTTTATTCTAATGTAATCATGCTAGGATAAGGCTATTACCTTGGGAGACCCCCAAATATCAGTATGTGTAAGTCTTTATTTGGGATTTCATATTCTCTGAGAATGTTACAACAGCCACATACCTTGTGTCCTACAATCTGAGACTAGTGCATGGGAAGGGGCTAGAAGTCTCACCATTCAGAAGGCAAAGTTTTGCTACTCTCCCTACTTTTAGTTTACATTGTACTCTTTACATTGTACTCAACTCTGCCTAGGTCTCCAGGAGTAGAGAAAGTCCCATTTAATTTCTCCAGAGAACAAACTTTTCATTCTCTGGCCCTGAGTTACTTTTCTGTCTATGTAGGATGGTGAAAGGAACAGAGAATTCAACTCTCTCATATACATACTTCCAACTAATAACTTTTTTCAGTCCTTAACTGACTTTAGTCTTATTATTCACCTGGTTCCTCCAAATCTTTTACCTAAATGATATTCTGTGGACAAAACTCACTAGTTTCTTGTATCATCAATGCAGGAACTTTAGATATTTCTGGAAACGAAGTCAATTACTCTTCCATCTGCTTCCTGTTATCAAAAGATATGTGTTCACTTGTGCATTCTTAGTCTTTGTTAGTTCATATCATTTTTATTACTTTTCTGTCATTTTAGTGGATATTTTAAAAGGAGGGATAACTGTGTGTAGTCAATCCAACTAATTTTCAATTTCTACCTTTCTGTACCAATTTTTTAACCATATATCTAGCTTGCATTTTTTAAGAATGATATTTGAACTTAACATTTTAAGAATGCAAACTTGTTAGATCCCTCCTGCACTCATTCTTAGTGTACTTTAAGATCTTCTACAGTGGACATCGTTAATGAGATCCTACCATCTATTCCAAACAATTTCCCTCATTATGCAGCAACAATGTACTTTGGCTAGAACTGAAACCACCCCAAGCTTAAAAGGTGGTCTGAGACAGGATTAAACCAAAGTAAGGGCCAAAGATAGATCTTTAGATTCTGGGACTAAAATCTCTACCTATAATTCTATACATCTTGAAACAATGATTGCTTTGGTGACAGGCACATGTTCTTGGTTGGTCTAATCAGAGTGAAAATTAAGTTTTGTCCTACATTTAGAGAGAGAATTTCTCTCACTTTCACTTCCTGGGCTTAAAGAGAAATCAGGTTGCCATAGTTGTTGCTGGAATAAATCCTGGAAACCTAGGGGAGCCAGCTTTAGGAGTAAGAGTCTGCTTTAAATGAAACTAACATGTTCATGCTTGTGTACTTAGGGAATTTTCTGTAAATTATGAAAAACTGGAACTAAATTATGGACTTCCATAATGTGTTCCACCCAATATCTTCCTTCATTTTCTACCACTTCACAATTCATTGCTATTAAGAAAATCATTGTTATTAAAAAATGCCTTCTTGTGCTGTAGCAACTATCTAAATATCTCATCTCATGGTTAATCCATTTTCATAACTTCTGAAATGACCCATCTGCATTTTTCCCTTTTTCTTACCACCTAAGGAAGGCCAAGTAGTGATGCAACTTTATTCAGCTTAACGGTCAGTTACGCCCTCCTGGTTTCAGGTTAACTATTTTCTCAGAAAGATTATAAACTCCTGGGGACAAGGAATCACATCTTGTATGTCTATTCACCACAACCAAGTACATTTGTTTGTGTGGAGAGTGGGGAAAGATTCTGAATAAATGCTTTAAAACAAATACAACATCATCACAAACTATAAAAAATATAAAACAATTGTTATGGAATATAAGGTATATCTGTAATTACTTAAACACAATGGATTACTTAAATACAGTATTTGCTTCTGGGGAACATTTATGCAATGAAATGCAGGTAGCTTTCATCAAACTGTGAAAATCTGTGAAGACGCATGGTGGCGCTGCAGGATAATATCGCGAAAAAATTTACACTGCATGATGATGCGGACCCTGTTACCCAGTGCGCAGAGAATCGGGAAGACAGAAAGAACACGCCCTCAAGGGATAACCTAGTAGCCATTCAACAGGGTTAAAATCCTTAGGCCTACCTTCTGATCTGGTGGACAGATCAGAGAGGCACATTTCCCAGAACTGGGAAGTGGAGCTAAGTGATTCTGCAAGAAGCATTCGGGGAAGGAGCTATGGAGAACGGAGGGGCAGGCACTCTGTGGATAAGGCAAGTCCTGCTTCTCTTTGTTTTGCCGGGAATGTCTCAGGTGGGCTCCGAGCCGGGGCGCTTTTTGGTGGCTGAGGAAATGCAGAGCGGAAGCTTTGTAGGCAATTTGGCGAAGGACCTGGGTCTGGAGGTGGGTGAGCTGTCTGCGCGGGGAGCTCGGGTGGTCTCTAATGATAACAAACAGCGTTTGCGGTTGGACACAAATACTGGGGATTTGCTGTTAAGCGAAATGCTAGACCGGGAGGAGCTCTGCGGCTCCGCCGAGCCTTGTGTGCTATATTTCCAGGTGTTAATGAATAATCCCATGCAGTTTTTACAGATTGAACTTGAGATCAGGGATATAAATGACCACTCTCCTGTATTCTTGGAAAAAGAAATGCTCTTAGAAATCCCAGAGAATAGTCCTGCTGGTGCTGTCTTCTTGCTAGAAAGTGCAAAGGATTTAGATGTAGGTGTCAATGCTGTAAAAAGCTACACAATAAGCCCCAACTCTCATTTCCACATTAAAATGAGAGTCAATCCAGACAATAGGAAATACCCAGAGTTAATTCTGGACAAGGCTCTGGATTATGAAGAGCAGCCCGAGCTCAGTTTCCTCCTCACTGCTGTGGACGGTGGGTCCCCTCCCAGGTCTGGGACTGCCTTGGTTCGGGTGGTGGTCGTGGACACTAATGACAACACCCCCGAGTTTGAGCAGACGTTTTATGAGGTGAATATTCCAGAAAATAGTGTCGTTGGCTCACTAGTTGTCACCGTCTCAGCTTGGGATTTAGACTCCGGAATAAATGGGGAAATATCATATACCTTTTCCCATGCCTCAGAAGATATTCGCAAGACATTTGAAATTAATCAAAAGTCAGGGGAAGTTAGTTTAAAAGCATCCTTGGATTTTGAAGCAATTGATTCATACTCAATAATCATTCAAGCCACAGATGGGGGAGGACTTTTTGGAAAATCAACAATCAGAATTCAGGTGATGGACGTGAATGACAATGCTCCTGAAATAGCCGTGTCATCAATTACCACCCCAATCCCAGAAAATTGGCCTGAAACTGTTGTTATGGTTTTTAGTATCCGAGACAAAGACTCTGGGGAAAATGGAAGGATGGTTTGCTCTATCCCGGAAGACCTCCCATTCCTGCTAAAATCTTCAGTTGAGAATTACTACACGTTGGAAACGGAGAGCCCACTAGACAGAGAGAGCCGAGCTGAGTACAACATCACCATCACCGTCACTGACTTGGGGACACCCAGTCTGAAAACAGAGCACAGCATAACCGTGCTGGTCTCCGACATCAACGACAACGCCCCCGCCTTCACCCAAACCTCCTACACCCTGTTCGTCCCAGAGAACAACAGCCCCGCCCTGCACATCGGCAGCGTCAGCGCCACAGACAGGGACTCAGGCACCAACGCCCAGGTCACCTACTCGCTGCTGCCGCCCCAGGACCCGCACCTGCCCCTCGCCTCCCTGGTGTCCATCAACGCGGACAACGGGCACCTGTTCGCCCTGAGGTCGCTGGACTACGAGGCCCTGCGGGCGTTCGAGTTCCGCGTGGGCGCCACAGACCGAGGCGCCCCCGCGCTGAGCAGCGAGGCGCTGGTGCGCGTGGTGGTGGTGGACGACAACGACAACTCGCCCTTCGTGCTGTACCCGCTGCAGAACGGCTCTGCGCCCTGCACCGAGCTGGTGCCCAGGGCGGCCGAGGCCGGCTACCTGGTGACCAAGGGGGTGGCGGTGGACGGCGACTCGGGCCAGAACGCCTGGCTGTCGTTCCAGCTGCTCAAGGCCACGGAGCCCGGGCTGTTCGCCGTGTGGGCGCACAACGGCGAGGTGCGCACCGCCAGGCCGCTGAGCGAGCGCGACGCGGCCAAGCACAGGCTCGTGGTGCTGGTGAAGGACAATGGCGAGCGTCCGCTGTCTGCCAGCGTCACGCTGCACGTGCTCCTGGTGGATGGCTTCTCCCAGCCCTACCTGCCGCTCCCGGAAGCGGCCGCGGACCAGGCCCAGGCCGACTCGCTCACCGTCTACTTGGTCATCGCCTTGGCCTCGGTGTCCTCGCTCTTCCTCTTCTCGGTGCTGCTGTTCGTGGCGGTGCGGCTGTGCAGGAGGGACAGGGGGGGGTCGCTTCTCGATGCCTGAGGGCCATTTTCCGGGCCACCTGGTAGACGTCAGCGGCACCGGGACCCTGTCCCAGAGCTACCAGTATGAGATATGTCTAACCGGAGGCTCCAGAACAAATGAGTTCAAGTTTCTGAAACCAGTTATCCCCAACCTCCCGCCCCAGTGCCATGGGAAAGAAATAGAGGAAAATCCTAGCTTCCCCAATAGCTTTGAGTTCAATATTCAGTGACCGTAATTAACTTTTATATTACATATGTATATAATTTTGTGGCACTTCCAAACCAATGTTTATTTCCAATTTGTGTGTATTTAAAATTGTAGTGATTTACTTTCATATTTTCTCATATTCTTTCCTGCTTTGCTTTTTAGTGAATGTTTGTTTACCTTTATTTCTGGTTCTCACAAGATGGTAATTTATTCTTTAACCTAGATGGTGTTAATTTGTAATTAATTTGTCTCTTAAGAACAATACCTAATCACATTTTTCCCTGTCCCTACCTTCAGGTAAATATTACCCACAATTATGCCTATGGTAAAATAAAACAGACCAAATTGGAGGCAATTCTAGTTATCTGTCATTTGATTGTCTCTGGTGTTTTTTGCAATTGGTTTTAAATGGTTGCTATTCAGAAATGTTATTTCTCTTTCTTTAAACGCAGTGCATTTTTATGTTAATTTTTGAATATGTTTATTAATTTTTAATATAAACCAGAAAATCATATCCTATGATACAACCATAAGGGTAACCACTTGATTAGAAAGAGCTAGAAGGCAAGTTTCTTAGTACTCTTTTCTCATTCATCCTGGGGAGTGATTGTGAAGGCACGTTAATATTGTGGCTACTCAAGGAATCTTGGAAATATGAAGCTGTAATTTTCCATGTTTCATTAATGTTGCAAAGCTATAATGCAATGTAGTTGAATGCAGACACCTGAATAATAATTCATATAACATAAAGTGGACTTGCGTGCTATGTACGAATTTTTGCCTGTTATACCAGAATTTAACATATATAAATTGGAAACTATTTTTCAAGCTTTTGTAATATACCACAACCAATAGTAACATTATGTTTTACATATTTTGCAACACATAAACATAAAAGAAAGAAATGTTTTGTGAACAATGCTTAGCCTTTTTGTGATGCAATCTGAAATTGCCTATATTACTTTGTTCTACTTATTAATAATTTTCAAATGTGGTCATGATTCACTAACTTGATTTCATGATATACTAATGGGTAGTAACCCAAAGTTTGAAAACCACTTTTTTGATATATAATAGATGTTGGACATTGAGAGTATCAAAAGATAATCCTCTAGAGTTCTAATTTTGTTTTTAAAGTTTTCAGACCATTGCAGGAGGGATAGCTTTGTCTTGTGCTGCACAGGCTCCACCTAACCACTCTTACTATTAAGGATCTTACTACACTATAGAAGAAAAAGCCTTCATGGCTGAGAGAGGAGATTTTCCATGAATTTTATCAAAAAGTCTAAAGTCCATAGGTTTTGGAAGAAAAATGTAGATGAATAAAATTAGTGAAAGTATGGAGGAAAGGGAAATGTGTATGTGTGTGAGAGAGAGCAGGCATGGGAAAGAAGAAATGAGTGGGGATGAGTAAAATTAATGCTTCTAGTGGCACAAACTAGACTCAATTGCTTCTTTAAGATGTTTTAACACTTTTTATTAACATTGTAGAGGGACTGGGTATTAGTCAGTTGATAATGCCAAGAAGTACGATCTATTTTTCTAGTATATATAAGATAACCTAATGTTTACCCTTCTTGAAAGCTAAGATTTGACTACCAGTTCTGCTGAACTGTATGAACCAAGTAATCACTCTTGCCATTCAAGATAAATGGAGAGAACAGAAGTCAACTGTGTTGCATGCAAGCTAATTGAATTCTAATTTTCTATTATTGAAAGTGGAACTAGGAGCAAGTTCTTTTCCCTCTAAATGAAAGCTTCTTTATGCAGAGAATAAAACTCACAAGATGTTATTAAAGTCAAGTATTAAGATTACTTCCTGTCTTTACTGCACTTAGTGGGAGACAACCGGAGGTCCTTTGGCTTAAAAAGATATAAAGTGTTATAGCTTCTCAGTACACCAGACAAGATGCGTCAAATGCTGAATGTGAAAAGTAAAGATGGCTGCTTCACACACATTAGAATGGCTATAATCAAAAAGACAGATAAGACAACAAGTGTTGGCAAGGATGTGTGGAAATTGGAACCATCATGCGTTGCTTGTGAGACTATAAAATGACACAGCCTCTTTGAAAGCAATTTGGCAGTTCTTCAAAATATTAAATATGTGCTTACCAGATGACCAGCAATTCTACCATGTACCTACTAAAAGAAATAAAAACATATGTCTACGAAAACTTATACACGAATGTTCATAGTAACATTATAAATAATAACCAAAAGTGGAGACAATCGAAGTCTCCATCAACTGATGAATGAATAAACAAAATGTGATATTGCCATATAATGGAATTGTGATTACTCAGCAATAAAATGGATTGAAATACTGCTGGCACACGCTACAACATGGATGAACCCCCAAAATATTATGCTAAGTGAAAGAAGCCAGTCACAAAAGAGTGCACACTGTATGATCCCACTTATATGAAATGTTCTCAATAGGTAAATCAATAGAAACAGAAAGCAGACTACTGGTTGTCTAGGACTAAAGGGAGGGTGGCTGGTGGACAATGACTGCTACCAGGTACAAGTTTTCTTTTTGAGGTGATGAAAGTGTTCTAAAATTAGAATACGGTGACAGTTACACAATTCTGTAAATATTGTAGCCATTTCTGGTGAGGGATTGCTTCTGTGCAGATGGTGCCTCTAGCTGTGTCCTCACACGGTGGAAGGGGCCAATGATCTCTCTTGGCCTCTTTCACAAAGACACTAATCCCATTCATGAGGACTCCACCCTCGTGATTTAATCACCTCACAAAGGCACCACCTCAATACTGTCACATTGGGGATTAGGTTTCAACATATAAATTTTGAAAGAACACAAACATCCAGACCATAGCAACACTTCAGATGGGTGAACTTTTTGCTGTGTAAGTGATATCTAATAAAGCTGTTAAAAATAAAGGTGGGAGTGGTTCTAGCAGCCTGCCTGTTGTCTTCTCTCATTTCCACTGCTAGAGGGGGAAAAAGCAGTTCAAATATCTCAGACAGAAAATCTAACAGATGCAACAGTGGAGACAAGGACCAAGTACTTGTCGCATCAAGTTTTTCCAGATACATGAGCAGCAGGTCTCCTCTGTTTATGGAAAGAACTATCTTAATGCCCTGACTACATGCTGAATTTTTTCACCTCCCAGAAATTGTTCTTTCTATGATATAATAATTTCAGATCTATTCCTCTGAGAACACAGTCTTTAACCTTCTCATTCTGCTACATCTGTTACATCTTATCTTTGGCCTTATCTGGACCTCTGTTCCATGATCCTGCTACTACCTATCAAACCCTCCTATTTTAATTTCCTTCCTATGCAGCTGATTCCCTCATTTACTACTTTCAATTCTCTCATGCCCATATTCTCAATTCCCTTGTTCAATTTGCTTTCACTAAAAAACACCTGATAAAACTCCACTCCAGATGAATATAGTCTTCTTCCTCCTGTCTTATACCTGGGCTGACGCACTCTACAAGACAAAACTTACAAAATTATCAATACCATTGCCACTATAAAGTTATCATATCCATTGGGCTTCTGAGACCAAGAACTCCTTTCATAATTTTCTTAATCAGCTTTTTCTTCCATTCTCCACAACTATCTTAAACTCACTTTAAACCTCTCACCCTACCATGTACCTAACCCCTTTTAGCAGATAAACTTTCCTAATACCTTACAGAGAAAATAGAATCCATCAGCTGGCAATTATCTCAATTTCCTACTCCCTAGTCTATACCATTGACAGCGTCTGTACCTATACTTACCTCCTGCTGAGGTCCGTACCACCTAAGTCCAATCCCTTCATATATTGTTCGGATCCCATCTTTAACTACCTCCTAGGTCCTAACATTATTTCTTCTGTATCTTAATTTTCTCCCTCTCTACTGAATATCATACATTGACATTTTAAATATGTTCAAGTTTCTCTAGTCTTAAAAAATACCCTCAAAGTCTAAATTCTTCACCAGATATCAATCTATTTTTTTCCTTTTCCAGCCTTTTCTTCCTTTACAAATTTCTTGAAAGGGTTATCTACCCTCGTTTTTGCTTCCTAATCCCTCTCACTTTTCAATCAAATGCAATCTAATTTTCATCACAACCATTCTACTTAAATTACTATTGTAAAAGTCATAGAGGATTTCTGTATAACTTAAGTAAGATTATACCGTGGGAACAATCTGATGCAACTACACAGTGGCTTGTAAACATGTCTATCATTTTCATGTTACAGTTCCAATGTAAATGATTAGGTAGATAGGGCAGCCTTGCTAATCACAGTCCTTCTAGAACTGAATTTTCTTTCAAGTAATTGCTCCGACATTCCCTATGGCAATGTCATAATTTGTATGGCTGTAGCTGGGTCACTACCACAGTTACGTTCTAGCTGGCTTGGAGGGAAGAGGCATATCCAGATGGCTTAGGTTCTAGACTTAGAAATAGCAAACAAAAAAATCTGCTCATAATCTGTGAGAACTTAATTCACTTGCCCATACCTAACAAAAGAGGTTGGGAAAGGCAATCTATCTGAGTGGCCACGTGCCTGGGTACAGTTCTATTATTAAAGAAGAAAGGGAGAATAGAGTTTGGCAGACATCTAAACAGAATCCTCCACAAAGACCATCTTTTTAAATCCAATGAACAATTATAATACTTATTTTTCTTGATTTTTCTGAAGAATTTGCTGCCATTGATCTTCCTCATCTCCTTGAAATACTACTTGCTTTTGGTTTCATGATTTTGAACTCTAGACCTTCCCTGTCTTTTAAAAGATACTTCTTTTCCTCTCTCCTCTAAATGAAGGTGTTTCTCAGAGTTTTGTGCTAAATCTCTTCTATTCTTACTTCACACACTTTTTCTTGGTTATCCTAGAGCTCTCATGGTTTCAAACACCATATATAGGCTGATGAATCCCAAAATCCATATCTCCAGCCTAGATTTATTTCCTATGCTTCAGTTTCATATGTACACACACACGCGCACACACACACACACACACACACACACACACACACACATCCTACAGGCACTTACCTCAATATCAGCATGTCCAAAACTGAATACTTCATCTTTTCCACCTCAACAGTGTTTTTCAGTGCTCCCTGTCTTAGAGAATGACACCATTAACCGTCTAGTTGCCCATTCCAGAGGTGTGATA